TTGGAACCTCTCTGATCTATACGGCTTGTGGGTCAGAAGCACAAGTACCAGCATGAACTTGCAGTTGGTGTCTGAAGTGTAAGGTGGGCATTCTTGTAGGACTGAGCCCTTACCCTGTGGGATCTGACACTATCTGCACGTAGATAATGTTGGCATCACATTAAATTGCAGGACACCCAGTGGCTGTCAGAGACCTTCTTCACGGTGTGGGAAACTCTCCCCAGCACACATACCCTAATTGGTGGTCAGACCCCCCCCCTTACTAAAACGTATTTTCTGCAATAATGTAATCATGGTAAGAAAGAACTGCAGAAGGATTTTCTGTATAATAGAAAAAAGGTGCCTACTCTTAGAGGCTGGTCAGCTCTGGACCAATTTGTAGGGAAACTTCAGGCGTGGAAGGACGCCTTCCCAGGGTCAGATGAAATTGGCATCTTGCAGGCTCATTCCCTTCCCTTCTCAGCTGAAGGGACAGGAGGAGGTAAGAGGATTCATCCACTGTCACTCTCCTATGTGGTCTACTTAGCCAGGACTAGACCTTGCCCCACTTCAAAACTACGGGGTTGAGCATGTTGACCCGCGTTCACCCAACACTTCCTGAGAATCTCCTACATGCCATGCACTGGGCTCAGTACGGGGAAGAGTGAAAATGTTCTACTTCAATTTCCAACTGCCTCTAAAGGACACTGTGAAGATTCGTGTGAGGGAACGGGGAACGGTGCTCCCCTCCAGCGTATTAACCACGTTCGTGTGGATTAGGTTACATTCTGCCTCACCAAAGTTTTGCCTTTCCCCATCAACCCCACCTCATGGTTAAATAAATTCATACTGAGGGACACCACGGAAACTCCTGTATCATCAATCGCTACAGAAGGGGGAAGAAGTAGGGGCATATAAGGGAACATTCTTAAGCAAAAGATCCTCCATCATCTACAAGTGAAATATATTTTGTTAATATTTACTATCACGGCAAGTATGACATCCAATAACCTGTCGGAGAAAAATAAAACAACCCCATTCCCTATGGATATTAATTACCCACTTCAAGGAAGCCTGCTGAGTCAGAATTATCTTGCCCTCAAATTCTCAAACACACCAAAAATGGAATCCATAAACCCCTGGCTTTAACTTTATCAAATGCACTTTGCTGAAAAGTTTAGTGAAGCAGGATGAAAAGTCACAATAATTGCCTGCACTTAATCAAGTGTTCTTTTCTTCTAGATCACAAAACAAACGGACGGGGGGCATGCCAACACTAGTCAAGATGGCTCCCCATGGTCAACTGGCTTAATTGGGAGCCTGAGCCCTACCAGACACAGCAATCAGAATTATTGCTGCAACAGCTAAAGAGGATGCATGCTAAACGGTGTGTGTCAGCAGCCTCACACACGCCATGTGGATGGTCGTCAAATCTCTCCCTGGTGCATGGAGATTTCACAGGTGATATTCCCGAGGGCTCCCAGACCCCACTCATGCATGCAGCCCACGCTGCAGGTTACAAACACCTGCTCTGTGTCTAAAAGGGTGTAGAGGAGGCATTAATAGAATTCCCAATGTGAAAACATATACTATTGTATACATATATGTACATACATAATACATGCATACATGCTTGCACACACATATATCGTATGCACGTACATGTGTATATGCATGTATTATATAAGCATACATAATTTATTTTATATTAATATTCATGACTGATTTGTGAATCCAAGATGTTCTCCATGAATGGCCTTCCCACTTTCCAAAAAACCATGCCACGCCCTAAAGTATGGATTGGGAAACTCATGGTATAGGGTCAAATAATAAATATTTTTGGCTTCCCAGGTCCTGTGCTCTGGACAATCTTTTAACTCTGACACAGCAGATGTAAAACAGCCATAGACAAAAAAAGTAAATGCCAGGGTGTGGCTATGTTCCAATAAACCTCTCTAAAAACAGGTGACTTGCCCACAGGTCATGGCAGACAGGTCATGGCTAGCTCACCTTATGCCTGCACGTGTTTCAAGGTCATTTACTCAAAAGTCGAGTTTAGTTATGTCCTCCAGAGAGCAACAGAATTAACTTATGCATAAATAACTCATAAATAGTGTAAAATGCTCTACTCAACTAGATACACTTGCCCCTTTATTGTACTCTGAAATATATCATTTTGGCAGAAAAGCGGCATTAAATTAGGGGTAAAAGCAACCAGTATTGTGTGGGTGCAAAGGACACATTATGGGTTTGGAAGATAGTTGAAAGGAAAAGGATTAAGGAGAACCAAAAACAAAGTATTATTATAAATCATATAATATTTACATTATTTATTATATTTATGTAAGTTTTATATTATTATATTTAAGTCTACATCCCAGTTGCTGTACCAAATGGATTTACAGAACTCCTCTGTGTCCCTCTGAATCACAAAATATTTCACAAAAGATCTATCGGCATAACGAGTTCAGAACTAGAGTATAAACAAACTATCTCAACATTCAAATTTATTCTTAGCCCCTACACTAGTCCTCATCATCAGCATCTTTGATACACTCATAAATTCAGTTCCATATAATCCCGAAGTTCCCAATTCCTGGTTCATCTCTGGATCCCCTCATTTAAAAATGAAAATTACGATTCCGGGATTGCCGTGGAAGGAATTATCCTTGGTCATCAGTTTTGAATTGAACTAATAAACCATCTTGGTAATAAAATCAAGGAATTTCTAATGCCAACCCAGACAGCTATGAAAATCCATTGCAAAGAGCCTCCCTTCACAGAGATTACAAAAGCAGAAAATGCTCAGGCAACACTGTATAGAAAATGTGATTCAAGTTGCATACGTTGAAATTTTAAAGTATCAGAGAGGCTTCCTGAATGATCTGTTTTTCCTAGGCAGCTGGTTTTCTTCATTTATAATCTCAGAAGCCCCATTGTGAATGGGGAATGGACGCCTGTCTCTCTGTTCTTTACATCTATCAGCAGACCTAGATCAAGGCACCATTGCCCCATACACAAGCCTGCACCCCTCGTGAATGACAATGGCTCCAAATGAAGACCCATGGAGTTCTCAGTTCTCATGGAGACATGTTGGGAATGCCCGAACAGGAAAACTCCCTGTCGTGAGCTTTGCATCTAGCCACGCATCTGTCCTCAGCATATAATATAGGAAGTTCCAACTTGGGATCACCCCTCGTCGAGGCCACCGTTAAGTGTGAGCGCCAAGCACACCCCGATTCAGACGTGCTCCAACTTGGGATCACCCCTCATCGAGGCCACCCCAAAGTGTGAGCGCCAAGCACACCCGGATTCAGACGGGTATTTAGACAACCTCTTGCACACGCACACGTCGATAAAGCCTGGTCTAAGTGCCCGTGGCCAAAATCCAAAAGGCCTTTCTAGATTCATAAGTCCTCATCCTCCCCTCCTGATTGTGCACTTTATATAATGTTCCCTCTGGGTTTCATTATGTGAACTGTCACATTATGAGCTGTGACTGGTCCACGGCTCGGAGCGCAATGCCAGACCTATTACCACGGCTTCTCCTTGGAAGCAGGACAGCCTGATTGTATTAAACAGAGTGCTCCTAGCACAGCGGCTACCGAAATGATTATGACCAAGATGCATCGGGTTGCTGTTACAAAATCAAATCGTGTGAGAAGGAAGACAAATCGTTCCAAGATTTCATGCCCCGGTTAGATAGCAATACTCCTCCAGATTGAGAAAAGGAAATAAAAACGGGGGCGAGGGGGAGAAGCCCAATTTTTTTTTAGAAAGCTGCACAATTCAGAAGACAAAGGAATTTACATAATGGGCTGTTAATGATGATTTAGGTGTATGTGCTGATGAGAAATGCCCGTGTATGTCCAATGCCTTTGGTAAAATAACCTACCAGGTAAAAATAGTAATCATTTTCCCATCTATCATCATCTTCCAAATTTGCATGTTAATAACAAAAGGGGGACAGCGTGAGTCTTTGTCAATTAAAAATAGTCTTTGAAAAAAGAACTAGCCCCCCTTTTTTTTTTATGGCAGGAAATGGGGGAGGAGTTTGGAAATCCAGTTTGCTGGGAACAAGGGTCTCATAGAAAAAACACGACCTTGACAATCCTGTAGAATCCAGGAATCCTACGTAAGTTTGTTACCGACAGAGGAAAGATGGAAATTATGTGGTCGGGTCTAAAGAAGCTAAAAGCCATTTGTGGTCTCAATGGTGGAAAATGTTTGGAAGCCTGGTATTCACACTGATGAGAAAGATGGTAGATAACGAATATGTGAGTAATATAATCATAAATACTACCTCAGCAGGGCTTGAAATGACAGCTGAGCCATGAAAAGACATAACCATTTACCTGAAACATATTAAAACACATCCTTTCTCGAACCTAAGTATGGGAAGGGACGGGTCCAGATTTTGAAGTGTGCAATGATTTTACTAACAAGTGCTCCCAACCAGAGACCACAAAAGTATTCCACCCATTTCCCTTTCCCTATGATGTGCTCTATTCCTGTTCTCCAGATAGAGAGAAAGATCCTGTGGTCTCAGTGGGCCCCTCGGCCTGCGTTAGAACCACACCTCTGACATTTTGGATCCCATTCTCGAGGGGCCACTGCCATTCAAATGCCCTTGTAGCTTGAGATGCTCAGTGTAGAACAGAGTGGGTTTCCAGTGGCCAATGGACTTGAGGGTAAATTTTGGAAAGGTTTATACGAGGTGAGTCAGAAAGCTGAGCCTCTCATCTGTGTATACCTAATTCATGAGACATATTCAGCCTTGTCGCTATTTGGAGGAACAAGCAATTTTTACAAAATCCTCAATTTCCAATGCATGCCATTCTATGCACTCCACATGAGCTTGAAATCACCGCTTTGCCCTTTGGTTCATTTCCAATAGATTGTGAGAAAGAAAACTATTTTTACTACCAAAGGAGCCAGAAAGCATTGCTAGATTTGATTTACCCAGGCTGCAAACGCATCCATAACGTAAGTCGGCAGAAGTCAACGATTTCGATACTCACCATTACATTGTCCTTCTAAGAAGATGCCTTCAAAAACACCTCCATGGACATATCCTTGCTGTCTTTTCCATCTCAACACATCTGTCCCTATTAAAATAAAAACGGCAAAGAGACATATTGGTCCACTCAATGAAAGAGATTGGTGTGCCTGCTTCAAAGCCAAGGTTCTATTGCTCACATAACCTTTCTTTTGGGTTGTTATAGGAACTAGCTGGTAATGGCAGAAAGTGATCTTTAACTGGGTTCTTAATAAGTCAAGCTGCTAATCACAACAGGACACCTGCACAGCTGTGTTTAACTGGAGAAGCCACAACCATCCATCCTGGTCCTCACGCGGCATGACGATTTAGAATCAATGGGAGACAGACTGAGGTTTCCAGTCTCGTCTGCATTCATTTGGGCTCTGTTCCATGTTTGTTGATGATGACAGTCAATTTAGCCCATGTCTACCTGCCTTCCAGCTAATTTAAACTAAGAGTTTTCCATCTTTGCAAAACGCAATTGGTGAAGAGAGTCAATCCATGTTTTAGAAATCGTTTATCTGCAGACACTGCTCTTTCCCCTACAGCAACGGGTCAGGATGGGCGAGACCCAACACGGCGCCATGTGCTTGGCTCGGCTATGAGAAAACTCGTGTCTATTGGAGTAGTAATCATCCCAGGATCGTTGAGCATTATTCTTGTCACCTCAACATTGAATCTTCTCTTTAGAGGGCGACTCTCACCCAACGCTGCTCGTTCTACTTGCAAGTGAGGATCACAAGGCAAGTGGCTCCTTGTGAGCTATTGGACAGAACACCAACTTGCCGCCGACACCCACCATTTCAGAGCGCTAGGAAGCAGTGAGCGGAAAGAGAGACTACTTCATTTAATGCACTTGTCGCGCTACCTCAAGGCTGGAGGAGTATCAGTACCAAGTAGATGAGGTCTTTGGGTTTCAAAGGTAATGAGCCAGCGCATTATTAAACTGAGGGAAGGTGGGGTCCTATTTTAATGATGCTTTGATTACTCATAACAACTAGCACAATTACTTATTATTAGGGGTTTCAGGAACACCGTTGATTGAAATATATTTGTGAAAATGAATTCCTGTGTCAAAACAATCACAATGGCATTCATCATTGCTGACCCTTCTATAGCCATGCAGGGTGCCTATAGACATCTGTTTTACAGTTAGAAAAACCGATGTCCACAGGCTAAGTCACGCAGCTCATAGGCTTCGAGGCAGAGGGAGGAAGAACTGAGTCTCCCTGGACATCACTCACTTTACCAAATCAAGCTGCCTCTTCAGCTAAATGAACCATCATAGCTAACACGTACGCAGTGGGTCAACATTTCAGATACCGACTGCTTTATATAGGGACTTGTTCTATCTTCTCAAGAACCGTAGAAGGTAGGGCGCCTGGGTGGCTCAGT